ATCTTGTCCTGTCATGAGGGATTCAACGGCAGGTCAGCCTTTTCTCATCCACTGATGTTGTGGTTTTTACAGGGGGTCAGGAGGCTGCGCCCAGTAGTGCGCGCCTCCACCCCACAGTGGGACCTGCCGCTGGTGCTCGAGGCTTTGGTCACAGAACCATTTGAGCCTCTGGAGCTCTCCTCCCTGAAAGCACTGTCGTGGAAGACAGCATTGCTACTTGCCTTAACGTCAGCCAAAAGAGTGTCCGAGTTAACCGCTCTGTCGGTGCACCCGAGCTGTTTACTGATTCGGGGTGACCGGAGCGGCGCGACACTGAGATCGAACCCCTCCTTTGTGCCCAAGAACCTAAGGAGTGCGTTCAGGTCGAGGGTTATTCAGTTGGGGGGATTTAGTCTTCCACCCCATGGTGGGGCCAGGGAAGCTAAATTACACCTCCTCTGCCCGGTGCGCGCGTTAGCATGTTATGTAGAGCACACAGATACCCTGAGACGCACTGAACAGTTGTTTGTGTGCTTCGGGGGCGGGGTGACTGGAAAAGCTCTGTCCAAGAAACGCCTGGCAGGCTGGCTTTGCGAAGGCATTGCACACGCCTACGAGCAGGCAGGGAGAGCCTGTCCCACGGGGGTCTGTGCGCACTCCACACGAGCTGTGGCTGCATCAACAGCCTTATTCAACGGTGTGAGTGTGGAGGATATATGCACGGCAGCGTCTTGGTCAACGCCAGGCCCCTTCATAAAGTGTTATCTCTTGGATATGTCTGGCTCTTTCTCAACGTCTGTGCTTGCTGGGGCAACACAGGACTGGTGAGGAGGGGGGGGGGGCTGTTGGTCAGTGGGCATCTGACCCTCTCCCCGGGCGTAAAATGCTCTGGGCCCTTTTCAGGGTTGGAGGGCTCCCCTCGCCTGCCTGGGGGCAGGAGGGGGAGAGCCCTCCATACTATAGTCCCTACACACTCTGCACAGGGTCACTGTTTGAGTGTGGGGACATAGGGGGCACTTGCATTCTCCCCGTGCTCTTTAGGGACTCAGGAGGGAGAGTGCATAGTGAACCCATACAGGGCTGTTTTTTTTCCCCTGTCTGCCTATAGGCGGACGCAGGGGAGCCTTCAGCACTGTTTTTTTCAAGCACACTTTTTTCCGCGAGGCAAGCGCGTCAGGGTGTGCTCTATCGGCCGCAGCCCAGACTTCTCCACGGTTACAACCGAGGGAGAGGTGAGTGAGGCGCAGTGGCTGCTAAAGCCGGTCAGGGACAGTGAGGTGGAACGGTGTGCTGGACGACAGTGCGACCATACATCGGGGCTCTGCCCACTGTACCCATAGAGTCCAGTAGAGGGCGGAGCCTGTGAGAGATATAACGTTGGGTTACGTATTGTAACCCTTGTTATATTAGCACAGGCGGAGCCTTCTACCTTGGGGCACTGTCTGTCCTATACCGCTCGCTGAAGAGTGGTGTAGGATGGTGGTCAGGAGGCGAGGCCTCCTTTTTTACGGAAGTGAGATGCGCACGCATTCAGGTAAGCCCGCCCCGGGGCCGGCTACGTCCATAGAAATCTCAGTAGGTGAATGCTTGCATGATAAGGTAGTACCCATAGAGTCCAGTAGAGGGCTCCGCCTGTGCTAATATAACAAGGGTTACAATACGTAACCCAACGTTCTTGTGACGGCCCCAGAGCCTGGGGCCTGTGAGTGTTCAGGTGTGTTGCAGGTCCTGCGATGGGGGTGGAGCTGAAGAGGCCAATCAGCATGACACCTGGCCGGAGCCGAGGTGCTACTTAAGCCCAGCTGCCCGGAGTCACATGGCCTTCGTGACTCTCTCCAAGCCTGCTGCAGGAAGACTCTCGCCGGGATCCTTTCTCGCCCATCCTCTCATATTCCCAGTGTTGTTTTTGGAATTGCCACAATAAAAGTGCAGTGGTTTTTGGAACCCTCGAACGTCTACGGGCCGGTCATAACATTCTTCATAAACAAAATTCCATGAAACACCCAAAACCAACAATAGGATACCCGGTGTTCTGACTGAAACCAGCACTGTGTAAGAAACATGAAGCAGACATACTGTATCACCACACCAGCTGTATCCTAATGCACGGTGAGAATAAGTCAAGTGTGACATTTGGCTGACAGGGGCAAACAAGCTACAACGGCCCCAAACACTTCCATCAGGAGAACAAGCTGCACTCAAAAACTATGCAGACATGATAACACAAATCTGCCAAAACACATGAAACATTCACAGCATTTAGAAAACATTTAACACCTTGAGAAAACGTGCAGTGTTTACTAGATTGCTGTATTATTCTGTGCAGTGACAATAAAGGAATCTAATCTGAATCTAATCTAGGAGCGCCTCATAAACCAAACGCTGCGAATACAAAAGGCTGCAAGAAGCTCAAAACACAACGGAAACCAGGGTACAAAAAAATGTATTTTGTATGTGTGACGCACACACAGCTGGGACCGGAGTGCTTGGTGACGTGTGGGGATTGTAAAGTTGGCCTAAATCAGTGTTTTTGAAAATATACATTTCATCGGCTTATTTTAACAATCATCAAGTCATCTCATGATTCCTTTTGATATTGCTCTAGATCTGCTGTAAGGTAACTAGCTAACGTTGCTCACCTAGTCATTTCAAATATACTGAAAAAACGCTTGTCACACAATTATAAAACAGATTATCTATGGAGCTATATCATGGTCATACATTTTTATCATTCAAAAATATACAATTTATTTTATCCTGAACTTTGAAAAATACAATGATGTATTCAAACTAAAAATAAGTATTTGAAATAATTGTTCAGATTGAATATTATTTTGATTCAGTTCAGCAATTATTTTGAATAAAATATTTATTTTCATATTTCACTTTTATACATATTTTGATATTTGAATATTTAGAAATTGCAGATTTTACGTTTTCAGATTCAAAATAATAATTGTTTCAGTTTCAAATCTTGTTTTTTCAGGTTTCACTTTTTTTTCCGCCTTCAGCTCGTTTTTCACTTTCAGATTTTTTTTCTCCACTTTTGGCCCTGATGTTGCTTGGGGGGCGGGGCTTACCAAAGAGTAGTTTGGCATCCTGAGTGACAGGCCTCCCTCTGGCAAAACGTATGACCCCGATATAGCTCCATAATTATCCATGCCAACAGTGACAGTTGGCCAACTGTATAACCCCGAGCGCTCCGGTCCAGCTGAGTCGTCACTTTTTAGTGTTCCCTGGTCTCCGTTGTGTTTTGAGCTTCTTGCACTGCCTGCTTTGTGTTTTCAGTGTTTTGTTTATGCAGTGCTTTTAATAAACACTGCGCATGTTTCATCAAGTTTATGAAGATGTTTGTTCATATGTTTTGCTACATTTGTGTTTTTGTATTTGCATCGTATTTGATAGTGCAGCGTGTAAGTGTTTTGCACCTCTAGCCACCGTACATTCGGACAGAGAAATATACTGTATGTGAAATACAGATTTCAATGACATTTCATTTTACAGTGACAGTGATCCACTGTTGGTTCTGAACTGGATGTAACTTTATCTAAAATATCCAACCTTTTTTTAAACGAGGGAGGCTGTGGCTCAGTGGTTAGTGTGCTAGACTTCGAATCAGGGGATAGCAAGTTCGAGTCCCACTGCAGTCAGCATGTCGTTGTGTCCCTGAGACACTTCACCCCAAATTGCTCCTGTGGGGATTGTCCACAGTACTGAATGTATGTAAGTCGCTTTGGATAAAAGCGTCTAACAAGTGACATGTAATGTAATGCATCAGAAGAACATAGTATTTCTCTTCAGGTGTCCTTCTCCAGAGAAAACCATGTGATTATTTGGTGAGCACCCTGTCGGAGCCACAGTTGTTTTGCTTCTTACTGAAGAGGGAAAGGAGGTATTGTGTGAGCATCTGCAAAGTAATTGAAGCCCAGGCTGGAGATGGACAGGCTGATTACAGCGTGTCTGCTCCCACATCTCACATCAACTCATCCTGCTGTCTCCCACCAGCGATCAACATCTCTATTTCTGTTAAACTGAAAAGCTTGCACGTTCTTAGCTCTTTGATATTTTTTCCTTTTCTATACATATTATTCCTCTGTTCTACTGACATGTCAATAATGGGTATTCAATTAGATTAACACCAGCAGGAGACATTAACCAAAAAAGTAACCAAAGCGAAACCGTGTAGTCCTCAAAGCACCACAGAGCATGGAATACAGTTACAGTTCCATTTTTCTTGTCTTTTTTCTATATTTTTGATTTGCCTACTGTGTCATTGGAGCTAAGACACTATTTATACTTTGCGATCAGGTAAATTCTACTCTTCTGCAAAACTGTCAGAGGCAGTACTTTGTTGCCTCTGTGTTTTAAATGCAGCAATATGTGATTTGTTTTCAGGAGTAAAAGAGCTTCTTCAGAGTAGACCACAGTTAATATGAATACAGGGCATACATACAGACATACACGTAGCATCACATGCTGACATGTATGTCTGTTAATGTTTGTAAAAGTGTGTTGTAGCACAAAACTACAACACATATGAATGTCTCGTAAAATGTTGTACAAAATAACTAAAGACTATTTTAAGAAGAGCATTTGGTGTGTAGATGTATTCACATGTTCAGTGATTCAGGATGGGCAGGGCTCCAATTTCAGCTCGAAATTTGCACGGAGCACTGACTCAAAGTTAATTTTATTAGAACTTTGACCTCTGTTGCCGTTAACCTTTAGTGCAACCGCCAAGATAACAGCTGTATGTGATGTTGCCAGAAGCGGAACAGGCAAGTAGGGGAAGTAACCATACTGTATAAACCAAATCGCCTCGCAACCTTCAAGTGACAGGAAGTGTTCTCTTTGCTCATGTAACGCGCAGGGTTTTGCAGCAGGAAATGAAAGCAGAAATATTACATGTCCCTCCGTCCCTCCATGTCCACTGAAGACCTGCAGTCTGCTCACTTTCACATTTATGACAAACTGCTCCAGTTTTAACGCTTTACTATAATCCAATACAGTTTTCACAGCCCATCAGCAAGTTTCTGAAGAAATCCCAAAACACGACATATGACACAGCATTGTGAACATTACAGTACATTAGAAACACATTACAGGAGTGTTCTTCAACATATGAGAATCATTCAGTTTTTTAAATATATTTTTCAAATATTCTGAGTAGCAGATCTGCACCAGAGGCAGAAATAGCATTCCATCCATCAGAGGTCATTAGAGCAAATAATCTCATTGGTTGGGTCCAATGTCAGGGGGCGGAGCCAAATGAACACATCGTATACAAATGTGGCCAAAATATATTAACTATATTAAGCACTGTTGCAGTTAACATATAATACATCTGTGCTATTTGGACACCCTCTTAGCTGATAGGGAAATATATAAAATCAGCTTAAATGAGCACAGAACAAGATCTATCGTTTTCATAACGTTTTACAGATACAGCAGCGCGCCTACGTCATTGAAACCACTGGTCAGTAGTTATCCAGGATTTTAACCACAAATATTTCTGATGGTTTAATTCTGATGTACTAGTTTGGACTAGTGGGAAAGCGCTAACTAAAGTATTAAGTAAACCTATTTATTTTGTAAATGTACCTTCCATATCTATAGGGAGTAAAACAGTGTTAACAAGGTTATATCCCAAAGCTGGATTTTCTGTTATTTGCCCTGAAGGTCCAGTTTCAAGAAAGTTTACTAAGGTTTAGTAGCTATATTATATCAACTAGATTGAATTATTTAACAACTTGCCTTACGGCTTATGCTGTTCAGTCTAATATGGTATGCTGTTCAGTCTAATATGGTAGGGTTGTTTAACTGTCCATTGAGGATAAACCATTGAGATTATTCAAAGACAAGACACAGTTTTCATAATAAACATTAAAATACATCGTAGCAAGTGTCACTGTAATAGAGACTTCAAATCAGGAGAACCAAAAAGTTCCCATTCATTGACCAGCTGAAAGCAGAGGAAGCCTTTCATTGTCATTCGGGAGAGTTTCATACAATAACTTCAACAACATTTTAAGGCATGATGAACACATATTATTTAAAATACTTCAGTGATGTTTTACATAGTGTCTTGTTATATCCTTTTCCGTGTCTCATAAACAGTTGTCTTAACAGAGAAAATGATCCAAAGAATCAGTGTTGTTATTGTGGTTTTCCCAAATCCATGTAGAAAAAAAAAAAAAAAATATTGTATAAAATAATGATCTGACTGAAGGACACGATCAACACCTTTGGCCTTGAAAAGTTTAATCTTTGAGTCCGAGAGGCAACCAGTGGCTTTATCAGACCCTATAAGGCGGATATTGGTGTTTTAGTAAACAACAGGTCTCAGGTCAGTGTCATCTGATATGACAGACAAAGCATATGAAACATGATAAAATCATTATTATACAAATGGTCATGATTGTCTATAAAAGCCTAATATGAATGATTCCAGTGCGATATTTTTGAAATTAAGGTAGATAATTCGAGGGTTTAGTGTTTTAGAATACAACCCTGATGAGAAACTACTGTGAAAAACTGGTTCCAGAACATCAAAATCCTCACCATCCAGCCTGCCCCCAGCAGATCCTCAGAGGAGGTTGCTACCACTGGATCAACCCAAGCCTCACACATCTGAAGATACCACCCCCTGCGGCACCATGCTGGTCATTTCTTCCTCGCATTAACCACACAAATCTCCATCATGAGACTGATTGGAGAACTGAGGAACCTGAGCATGACTGGATATTGGACTTCCTCACAAACAGACACTTCAGAATGGTGGTCTCCTCCTATCTACTGTAGTGTTAAACAACAGAGCTCCCCAGGGCTGTGTGCTCAGCCCCTTTTATTAAAATAAGGTGGAGACACACTGCTGTTTACCTCAGTCACGCTGAGGGGGAGCCAGTAACAGGGTAAAGTTCCTGGGAATTAGCATCACAGAGACGAGAAATATATATCATATTTTTGAATGAGCCATAGGAAGGAGAGTCCTATCTGAATAGTTTGTTGGATCATGTGTTCTGAACGAGGCAGCCCAGAGGAACTGCCTGTCTCCGCTCACAGTTTGTTGTTATGTAGCCACTCTGGATGTACAAAGATATACAGCGTTGGAGGCGGGGCCCCCTACATAACTATGAAAGTTGCTCAATTGCGCATGAAGCCAAAATGGCCTTCCTCTGGAGAACAACAACATCAGATCAGCCGGGGATCTGGGCTCATAGAGCAAGTGCACTCGCATTTTCCTTAAGCCCCGCCTCCAATCCACTTCGTCACGTCCGGTCACGAGATAGTTATGCTATGGGGGCTAATCCTGAGAGTAGTATTAGGATACCTACTTGCTGGGGCTTTCAGTTTGATAGGGTGTGGGATGGGGCCTTGCCTTTCACACGGAAATACATGTATAGCAATTGAAGGCCTAAAGCAACAATTGAGTTATTGTGAAATATTGTGTCTTTCAGTTTATTTAAATTAGCCAAATTGTAGGTGTAATACCAGATGAAAAGCATACATTTGATGTGCACATTGTTTCCTATTTTCATACTTTTTCTCTTTATTTATTTCTCATTAGATCCTCCTCTCAGATGGACACACATGTTGAGTCTCTCTGTAGGTTGATGAACAAGGGCCTTAATTAAAACCCACATGATGAATCTAGTATAATGTCAACTTTGATCCTCTAGATTGCACTGCACTGCACTGTAACTTTTTATTTATGTATTTTTTCTTTTAATGTTTCTTTTATTATCTTTTACTGTTTTTAAATGCCTTTGTCTGAATGTCTTTCATTTTTGTAAAGCACCTTGAATTGCCTTGTGTTGAAAGGTGCTATATAAATAAACTTGCCTTGCCTTGCCTAGATTGGTCTTTTCTAACAGATGTACTGTTTTCATTCAAAAAATGAATTCCACCGTTCCAGTTTTTCCCATTAATGTTAAGCTATTGTCAATTTCTCTTGAGCTGAACTATATAAGGAAGGCGGGAAATGTGAAAACTCTGCAGGTCGAGTTTCAAGTGCTGAGTTTCATTCTCACTCCAGCAAAAACTGTTTTTCTGTTAAAAAATAATAGATCAGTGCATGACTCTAAATTGCTAAAGTTAGGCTATAAACAAAATCCATCACTGTCGCAGGGCCCCGTTCACCACCGCTAAGCTAAAGGCGGCCATCTTTAGTGTGGTGAAGTTTCGTCACATTTTAGCAACTGCTGTTTTTATGACACATGGAAGCTTCAGACATTCATCAGTGGAGTATTTACTGATGTGTTTTATTTTAAAGAACCAAATGAAGAATCTCTTTACCTTGACCTTATTTCAATCTAACCAATAAAACGTTACGAAAAAACATTGACTACAGAGACCAGGGTACTGGAAGTGGTCAATTGCAAACTTATTTACAAGTTTAAGGACTTATACCTGCACCATCTTATTAATGACAGAACTTTTTCCTAATTTCCTGTGGGACTTATTCTCCCTGCCACTGAGGTAAATAAAGTCAACTTTTGGGGTATTTACAGTATTAATGATTCATTAAATAAAAAAGCAGGGTGAACAGCAGCTTACTTTCTCTGATGTTGCTATAACGCACGGTTCTGTAGGTTCGGTTCTAAGGAGGATATCATGAATCTATATTCCCTACACAGTTGGTAGTAACTGCATCAATGCAAACATGGACCATAGACCAACAATTGTTCCTGACTTTAGACAAACAACAGTTTCTTGACATACCACACAATTACCCAATATAATACCAACTTGCAAAAGGTCTGGTTATAATACTCTAGACAGCATCATGGACGTACAGCAGATACAAACACAACTTTTAATGGCTTACACATAAATGAACACATATTTGTATCCAAAATAAACCAGCAAAGCGTACTTGTTGCTCAGCACCCTTCTACTACCTAAAAAGTGCTTTTTGACACATCTCTCTACTGAATAAGGCTTTTGGCTAAAAAAATATCTCTCACACAATGCGCTTGCAACCACAGATCAAGAATAACTTTGGTTTGCTCCTGTACAACTGCTAAGAGGACACAAACCAGACTGAACGCGGGACATTCACACAGAAATATCTTGGCTGTTTGTTTCATTGCTGTTTTTGTTTCTTCTGTTACTTTTTTTGTACAACAAAATAAATCCTCTGAAGGGTTAACCTGCATGGCTGGTGTCCTGTTAATCATAATCCTCATATTCTGGATCCATGTTGTCGCCCTGATAGTACGTCCCCTGTGTGGAGTAGGACCGTGTCTTCATTGAGCAGTTGGTGTCCATCAAAATAGCCTGGAAAGACAATATAGAAGATATAGAATCGGAGGGATGAAACCCACTTTATTTGGTCACACATACATGCACACAGCACACACAGTGAAATGTGACCACTGCATTTAACCCATGCTAGTACTAGGAGCAGAGGGCACTGGGCAGCTCCTAGTACAGGCAGGGCCCAGGATGTGAACTGGGATCTCTCCAAGTAGCAGTCCACACTCCATATTTAGGTCTGATCGGGGACTTGAACCGGCGACCCTACTGCTCACAGGCCAAGCCCCTACTGACTAGGAATGTGTTATTTCTGCCTCAACATCTGTCAAAGTCCCCTATTGTCTTTTTTGCAATGCAAGGGTTACAGCCTACTATATGGCTTATTGTTAGATTATTATGTGATTTATTGTTTTTTTATATATCAATTAAAAGCTTTTTTTATGACTTGATACTGAATTCCAATTTATATGAACACATTTCATTGATGCATAGTTGCTTTATGCAAAGCATGTTTTCTTTGACACTAAAATAATGACACACATCTTAAAAATCCATTTAACTTTAACACCTCACATGGAAACTTTCTAAAAACACAACCCAGTTTCAGAGGAAGGCCTACCACTACCTCATCATCTAAATTCATTATTGAGGAGCAGGAGTTATCAGAACACATGCAATAAAGCAGAACAGAACATTTTCATGAGTAAATAAAAAAAAAAAAAAGTGAATTGATTACCAATTGGCTTAAAGGTCCCATGTCATGCTTTTCTGGTTATCACCCGTCCCCTTGTGTTATGTAGCTTTTTCTGCATGTAAACGGTCTGCAGAGTCACAAACCCTCAAAGTACACCCTGTAGCGAGTAAAACTCTAACACATAGAAGACCTGTCTGTGCTGCCCCAGAACGCCTCGTTGGAGATTTCTCTTTTCCCATTTTTTCCTTCTGGGTCCTATTGACGTAATGAAGTCCAAATGGACCAATCCGCGGAGCTCCGCACACACACTCTCTCACTCAGCCTTATATGTTCTCAGCCGCGGTGCTCCGTACACAGAGTTGGGTGTAATAATATTACTTTTGTCGGTAACGGAGTAGTGTAACGTGCTACTTTTATAATTCAGTAATCACACTACAGTTACTAACATTGCCCTGACACGCGTTACTTCGTTACTTACTAAAATCAGTCATAATCAAACCTCAACAAACACCTGCAAAGAACACATGCTAAGGTGAAGCTAACGCACAGCTATTTGTTGTTTGTTTATATCCTTATATCACGTAGTCTGTTCTTCTTCTGTTTTCCGGTTGTTGCCTGTTTTGAATGACGAATACACACTACCGCCGCCTGCTGGTAAGGAGAGTTATTGCCACTCACGCATGCGCAGTTCGTACGCGCTCGGCTGAAGTCTTGGCGGTGTGTTCCAGTGCAACACATGGCCAACACGCAGGAGAACACGCCGACGCAACAGCTTGAGCAGAGATAGACTGCGCAAAATACAGATATCAGGAGACAGAGGACAGCCATGCTCAGATAGGAAAACATTCAGGATCTGGATCAGTCTTATGCGACAATGGAAACTGAACTAAAGAGAACATTTGAAACTTTAGCAGTCTGCGTGATCTGCCTGTAGGGAGGGGCGGGCCGGCCCTGCGAGTAAAGTAACGAGTAAAGTAACGAGTTACTTTATGTAGAGAGTAACGAAGTAGTGTAATATATTACTTTAAAAAAAACTAATATGTAATATATTACTTTTTTTTTAGTAACGACCCCATCTCTGTCCACACACACACACACACACACACACACACACACACACACACACACACACACACACACACACACACACACACACACACACACACACACACACACACACACACACACACACACACACACACAGAGCTCAGGCCGTGAGTGTGTGTGTGTGTGCTCAGGCTGAGCTCCGCGGTGTATCGCAGACCCCACGCAGCAACCAGGAAACTACACCAGAAATCCAGCTCACACTGTCCGCTCCTCGAGCCTCAAAGGGCAGAGCAGCGAGCCCCGCAACGTCCCGCAACACGGCACCCAGACCCCACGCAGCATTCTCATCTGCTTGTCATTACTGGTTGCTAACAAACGCCATTGTAACACATAATCACTGATGTTCCGCTGTAACGGTGATGGACTCATCAGAACAGAGTGGGCGAGCTGACCAATCAGAGCACAGTGGGCTCACAGGGAGGGGGGGGGGGGGGGGGGCAGGAGCTCCAACAAGCCGTGTAGGGCAGAGAGTGAATACACATACTATACAGCAGGGGTGGGGAACCTCCGGCCCCCGGGCCATATACGGCCCGCGAGACCATTTTGTACGGCCCTCGAGGTAATTTATAACACACGCAAAAAAGAAAAATGTGTAAGAAATCTAGACCGCAAACAAATTAAACAAGCGAGTGCCTGTTTTTCCTGGCCAAGGTCAGGGTCCTTGAACACAACACGAGCCTAACGTGTCATCCATCCGCATCCTTCACGTGGTATATGTCTCGTCTGACAGGGGTGCAAATCTGACGGAGAGCACCAGAACACCGCTCCGGGCCGGGACTTCACAAATGTCAGTAACCATAAGGAGCCGTACACATGCCACAGTTTTTGCGTGGCTGTGTATTTAGTTGAAAGCCCAGTGGCGATCTGTTCATCTGTCATACTGATCATACAGTCAATAACTTTGTTGTTATTAGCATCTGGTTAGCTAGCTATGCTAACGAATATAAGAAGCTTTTTCTACAACCAGTGAGGTAAAGGCACATCTTTATATGATCATTATAGTTATACAAAAAATAAGAGAATAAAGTAAACAGGTATAAAATACTATATGACAGTAACAAAAAGTTGTTATTAATAAACAACAATACATTTTGAAAGGGAAGTGATTTGTAAAATATCCATAAAGAAAAGTAAATATGCTTACAGGTCTGTTTCATATGGGTGTTGAGAGATGTATCCATAGAGCTCCTAATGTTGCTCTCAAAGTGCACCAGATTGATGCTTTTAACGTCAACATTTTAAAAAAAAATCTTCCCGGTGAAGCATGCCCCCGGACCCCCCTAGAGGAGGTTAGGTCCCCCCCCACTTAAATAATGTGCACATGGATAGGAAACTAAATACATTTGCACACATCTTGTGTGTCTATGCGCGAGTCATGGTAAGATATCTGGATTAAGAGGTTGCTTTTTCTTTGCACACCATGAAAGAAAGGCCAAATGAATGAATTTTAGCATTTTTAAGCAGAGGTCAATCATTTGAACGGCCCTCGGAGGATGTTGAAAAAATTGAAATGGCCCTTGAGAGGAAAAAGGTTCCCCACCCCTGCTATACAGAGATGCTGTATGAGAAACCAATGTGAGTTTGGAACATTGAACAATGTAAATCTATTCTAGTATACCTCAACAATGGAATTATGATCAGTAGAAATGGCCATGACATGGGACCTTTAACACGGTCAGAAGAGGGCTGAAACCGATCCAATATTGTAGCCTTTATTTAACCAGGTGAAAGCCCATTGAGATCAAAAGATCTCTTTTTCCAGGGTGACCTGCAGGACATTAGTTACACATGTAATATAAAAACAACAGAACAACAATAATGATGACCTACATATCAGCGTTGTTGGGATACAAACAGAATGTGTGGGAGAGGAGAGCTCATGAATGACACATGCTGCATGGAGAGACAGATTGAGACAGAGGGGTGGAGCTCCAGGTGGAGGAGGTTCATCACAAGCATGCAGGATGGAGATTATCATGCAGCTGATTGATGTCCAATGACGGCACGGTAATTATAGCATTTCTCCACTTACTAAAGTCTGTAAAACATGAATGAGTGTGTTACTGTTAAGTGCCAAACAGAAATGATCAAATGCATGTATCTACATCGGACAAACCGGCAACACACAAACCTCCCTGAGGGAGTTTTTTCTTGCATTTCCTTTAGGATTTTAATAATCATTGCTCAGGAGTTCCTGTCAGACTGAAGTTATTAAATAATAAGTAGAATTTTGTAATGACTTTCCCTTGTTCTCACTTAGAGACATGCTAAAACACATCAGCTAAGTGAAATAGTGAACCTTGCAGATATGACTTCTGTAGAATGGTGGCAACAAGATAGGGGATGATTTTGCCAACATTACTCAAACTATAGTTGCAGTTGTAGAAGAGAATTGCTTCCAAAATGTTTTCATTGGACCGTCTATACTAGACTGGTTTAATCAACATTCTTGTCTAGTAAATGTATTATAATAAACTTGAGGAAAATGATTAAAATAAAATTTCACGTGAATTACGATGCTATGATTCAAGCAGGATAATTTTTCTTGCTAATTTTGATTTATACTAATACAGCTTATATAAAAGAGCAGACATTGAATACAATGCTGGTAGCTTAGTGGTTGAATATATATATATATATGGGATACTGCAGCATCATTCAGACTGAAAGGCAATGCAAGAAACATTAGTGTTGGGAGTTGTGCGACTTGTTATCCATCCAACAACAACATTCTGGTGGTTTGTTCACCTTGCCTTCAATATTTCTCTGTGTTCCTGTAGGATTTGTTTGACTCTATTTAAGTGTGATTTGAAACTTACAATTTTCTCTTCTTGTGCCGGTGGATTCCTGAGGAAGATGCAAAGAGGAGCATAGAGAATATCCACTATGCCAATGATGATCATCATCCAGGGGAAGCCGATGCTCTCAGACAAGACTCCGCCGATAGACGGACCTACAACCGTCCAGGACAGATCACATAGTTTAGTTGTTTGTCAGGAGCACTTTGCTTTTCAAATCTGTTTTGACATATTTGTAATTTGTAATAACCATGAAAGATGGCTCAACAATAAAATAGTATTTTATTTAATCTTGACAAGATAAACCAGACGATTTAATTGCTTTAGAAATGCATTTAAAGGCATCATAACCTGTAGTTAATAGCTGATATTATGGCTACGGTTTTGTCATTCCTTACCTAAAGCAAATCCCATGCAGAAAGCCACATCAGCAATAGCATACACACTTCCGTAGACAGACACATGCCGCAGGTCCACCAGGTAACCCATAATAGGCATCATAGACGAGTCCACCATGCCTGTAACACACCACAATAAAGGTCTAACACACAAAGCGGGGAGAATACTACTTTGTAACTTTGTAATTCTAAATTTAGCAGACTTACCGATAGCAAACCCAATTCCAAAGTTAGGAAGAATCAGACCATAGATGTTTTTGGCAAATGAAACCTAGAACAGACAGACCCATTTCAGAGTAAACAACGACACTGATATTTGGAGATACTTTTTGTTTGAGCGTTGTTATCATTGTGAAGTCTCCTATTGGCAGCATGAGTTCTATAATGACATACAACTAAGATAGATACATCTGCATAATCTGGAGAACCTGGACCTTTGTTTTTATCTTCAAACATCAAGAGCAAAATACTGGGTCCAACCGAGCAGCAACCTCCTGTCCTGGGAAATGCTAAATGCTAAGCCCTCCACTTTAAAATAATATACTGCAGTTTGCTCATATATTGGCATATATTCATTGTAGTGTGGTGATTGACATTATTCACCCACGGATCTATTGTTCCGCACGGAAATTTTAGTGAACCGGACTTCCTGTTTCCGCCGGTCTTCGTCTTCGGCATGAAGTTGTTTACATGTGTTTTCAGATGCTAAATAAAAGTCTAGCTTGTGATGGATGCAGATGGGAGCAATTCCCGTAGACCCTATGTTAACAGACCCTGTGACAGCATCCCAACAACTGTTGTGCAATGAAATATTGGGCTACTAGTCATCTCGAACCGTCAGTTTAAAAAAGAAGGTGCGATACCGTTCCGATAAATATCAATAATTTCGAACATCGCGGGGAAATTCCTTCGCTCATTTTGAAGTTTTGGCGGAAGCCGGAAGTGACGTCAATGCGGGAACGCTTCACTGTGCGGCGAGAGAGCCAAACACGGACAAAGTGTGTTGTCATGCGTATGGTGAATTACTGAGTTTAGGCACGTTAATAACGTTTTAATGAAGTTGACTACAGTATATTTATATGTATCAGTGCTTTCATGTCAATTCGGCGAACATAAACATAAATGATCGTGGTGAAGATGATGATTAAATTAGGATTAAAAATCGGTAGTGAGAGCTGCTGAATTTCCTCCCGTAGGATGTGATATAAAAACAAAATCGATTATTTTTGTAGTTGTAAACTCAAGTGGATGAAACTACATTTATTCGTGCTTTCATGTCAATTCGGCGAACATATGATACATTAAATGATCGTGAGGATGATGATTAAAAATCGTTTGTTTGAGCCGGTCTGCATTTCCTGATGAGAAAACAAACCGATGCTTTTTGTAGTTGTAGTACACCAACATGGATTAAACGTGTGTTTTTTTTACCACAATGTTGGGGAAATTAATGGATAAAATGCACGGATTATTATTATTATTATTATTATTCCCACTCCGATCGGGACACTAGGTCCACCGTTTCCCCGCAGCGAGGCTCCCCCCGTTGACAGTTTACGTGGGCTGGGTGCAGTGGCGAACTGGCCATCGGGACGAATCCCGATGGGCCGGTACCGAAGTGGGCCGGTCGAATAAGTCACTAGCACATCCCCCATAGGCGGCGCGTGAGGCTCAGGTTTGGGAAGGCTAAATAACTTTTTTTACCTGACGCTGCCCGACTCCGGCGTCTATAGAAAAGAGATCAACTCAGTGTGCGGAGTTTAAATCTCACAAGTCATATTACAGGATAAAGGAAATACAGTTTAAACTGCCGTATGCAGAGAAGACGCCGACGTGTCGCACTTATCATTCATATTAGCCTACATCATCAATCAGATCATCAATCATATAATCAGGGGCGGATCTACCGGGGTGCCATGGGGTGGCAACTGCCACCCTAAACAATAACCTTGCCACCCCAGCTGCCACCCCAGTTGGCATCTTTGTTTTGAAAGAAAAGTTGTGGCTCATCGGACATTTATGAGAGAAAGTCTCTAATGTCCGAGTGCAAGTGAATGCAGCACAAGATGCACGTCATGTAACCCCTCCCCCGGTCCTGGCGCGAGAGTGGAAATATAATTGGTGGCGAATTCACTTGAACGGGGGGACGGCGCAAAATGAGAAGCCTTTCGGACCCAAGCACTGAAGGAATGAGGTAATTGCGGTCTACACTGACAGAGAAGAGAATGTCAAGTTTGGCTGCACTCAGCATTGAATCAAAACGCACTACAGCTGTTGATCTTAATACGTTTGTGAGGCGTTTTGCTGAACAAAATAGTAATCGCCGCATTCAGCTGTAATAGACATGCCAACTTGATGCTCTGCTCACGGATGACTCGATGAGAATAACAAACTGTTACGATGATGACCTTGTATGCGTGTATATATTTTTTTCTTTGAGGGGGTCTGCCCCCAAAAAACAATTTTAAGTCCTGAGAAAGTAAAATAAGACGGTGTAAAACTACACTGCCCAGCCAACAGAAAGTATCTGTCACGGTTTGTGTAGGAAACAGGACCCAAATGCAGACTTAAGTGACAAAAATAATTCCTTTATTTCAAGGCTACAATATCTAGACACTAGGGGTGTAATGGTTCACAAACATTTCGGTTCGGTACGTACCTCGGTTTTTTGGTCACGGTTCGGTTCGGTACGTTTTCGGTACAGCAGAATTTTTTTTTCACAAAACAAAACATATATTTTTTTTATTATTATTAAACTGTGAATAATGTATTCACTCAAATAAATACAAAATATAATAAAATAAACATTAAGGTGCAGCATTTCGATGAACTGAAATAATCTGTATTTGAACTGTACTGTACTAGTTCCTAAGCAGCCAGCTTGACATTAGGACTTGCTTGTCATTGTATTTTCATGTTTTTTTTAAAGAAAAATGAACTTGTCCACATTGCTGCCGAAAGGGCAGATCTGCTGGCACTAACAATGTCTCCTGCTGTGGAGAAAACCCTCTCTCTAGGGACAGAGGTAGCAGATACAGCCAGGTAGCGCTTTGCTAACATGGCAACATAATATATGATACTTGGCGTTTGTAATAGCTTTGGCTCGGTCTGATCTTTCTGCGAGTGGTGGAGGCTTAAATGCTAGTGGGAGTTGGGTTTGCACTTCAGTCTTTTTTCTTTTGGTACCGGTGATATTCACGTTCGGGTGATGCCTTTTCTAGAGTGTGCAAGTTTGATGTATTGCCAGCCGCGTAACCAATGTTAGTTGAACAATGCCGACAAACAGCTTTGGTTCGGTCCACCTGTCTTTGTCCTTCATCCTTGTACATAACTGCGAAACCAAAATGTTCCCAAACCGGAGACTTCAATGATGCTGGAGGATTTTCGAGCTCAACTTTATCTGCGTTCGCCATTAATTTTAGACAGTTCCTCAAATTACTGACTACATTTGAACGCATCCCTCTGACCAGCTCTCAAAGTATGCCTCTCATCCAATGAAATGACTTGGTCGCTCTATGACGCGTTGAACCCAATGTGAGCAAATTACTCTGAATGCTGCGACGCAGCACCTGAGATTACTTCCAAAAAGTTGTTCACGTTCTCAATTGTTTACGTTTAACGTTATATTCGTTCGGTACACTTCGGTACACACCTGTACCGAACCGAAGGGTACGTGTACCGTTACACCCCTACTAGACACAGAACAGAACACTCACCGCAGAATTACTCAAAACACAAGACGAACCGACAAAGACAGACGGAAAAACCAGAACTTAAATACACCCAGGACTAATCAAACAAACACGAGACAGGTGAGGAGGTAGGAGAAAACACAGAGGCACCAGGTGAACACAATCGGGTAATCAGGGAGGGAAAACAGACAGAAAGCAACAGGCAGGAAACGGGGGTGAACACTTTACAAAATAAAACAGGAAACCCAAAGATAGAAAAAGACAAGACAAAACAACAACACAGACAGATCCTAACAGTACCCCCCCTCAAGGGACGGATCCCAGACGTCCCAAAACAAAACTACAAAAGTCCAAAACCTTAAGCAGGGTGGGTGGAGGGGGTCCGGAGGAGGGACGCATCACTAAGCCACCAGGGTGGGTGGAGGGGGTCTGGAAGACGGGCTTGGGCTGACAGCCCAGGGGCACGGCAGAGGACCAGGAAGGGGTTTCGGGCGGAAGGCCCGGGGGCAAGGCAGAGGACCAGGAAGGGGTCTCGGGTGGACGGCCCGGGGGCAAGGCAGAGTCCAAAATGGGGATCATGGAGGGGCGAAGGCAGCGGCAGGAAGAGTCAGGGGGCCGGGCCTCGAGGGCGAAGACCGCAGCTCTCAGAGGGCCGGGCTCGAGGGTGAAGACCAGACAGCTCCGGAGGCCGGGCAGGAAGGCGCTGACGGGACAGTGCCGGAGACCGGGCAGGACCCGGTGTCGGAGCTGGTGGGATAGGCCTCGGCAGGAGAGCAGTCGGCGGGGCCTCCAACGGCACAGGACATAGGATTGGCAGGACCCCCGGCAGGAGAGTAGTCGGCGGGGCCTCCAACAGCACAGGACAAAGGGTTGGCAGGACCCCCGGCAGGAGAGTAGTCGTTGGGACCTCCAACGAGACAGGACAAGGAGCTGGCAGGACCCCCGGCAGGAGAGTAGACGGCGGGACCTCCAAGGGGACAGGACAAAAGGTTGGCAGGATCCCCAGCAGGAGAGTAGTCGGCGGGGCCTCCAACGGCACAGGACAAAGGGTTGGCAGGACCCCCGGCAGGAGAGTAGACGGCGGGACCTCCAACGAGACAGGACAAAGGGTTGGCAGGACCCCCGGCAGGAGAGTAGACGGCGGGCCCTCCAACGGGACAGGACAAAGGGTTGGCAGGACCCCCGGCAGGAGAGTAGTCGGCGGGGCCTCCAACGGCAAAGGACAAAGGGTTGGCAGGACCCCCGGCAGAAGAGTAGTCGGCGGGACCTCCAACGAGACAGGACAAGGAGCTGGCAGGACCCCCGGCAGGAGAGTAGACGGCGGGACCTCCAACGGGACAAACATACGATTGGTAGGACCCCCGGCAGAGGAGTAGTCGACGGGGCCTCCAACGGGACAGGACATGGAGTTGGCAGGACCCCCAGCGGAACCTCCAATGGACCAGGACATTGGGTAGGGACTTGAGACGTGACTCGAGAGGGGACTCGAGAGGAGACTCGAGAGGGGAACCAAGGGGGAACTCGAGATGTGACTCGAGAGGAGACTCGAGAGGGGAACCAAGGGGGAACTCGAGAGGGG